ATGTGGTCGAGGTAGGGGAGCACTGTGTTTTGTCTGTCACAGGCACATGAGATGCAAATCAATATTATTGATGCAATTTGTGATGAGTAATCTGCAGTTAAAGATTTTCTGCAAACTCTGCATTTTGGTAATTGGCCCTTCCTCTTGTTTCAGCTTGACAATCATTTCTTTCCATAAATTAAAGGGAAAAAAGAAGATAAGATTTTGAATTTAGCAGACATCCCAACCTTACAAGTAACCCAGGACTTAATTACTTTCAGATTTCTGCATCATTTTATGGTTTCACACAGTCTTATTCTGATGGCAAAAATTATTTCATCCAGTCTCAAACATAATGAAGAGAATGACACAAAGCCAATGAACGTGTTCTAACACTACCATTTTCCATGAAGCAACCTCTCCTTTGCTAAAGCTGCTAATCTAACTGCTTATCACACATCCATAAAGACTTTATAGCAGAGGGGAAAGAGAGAATAAAGGAACAGACATTTAAGTTATGCAAGATTTGTTTGGGGTTTTTTAGTGAATAGCAGTACACTGAAATTGCTTTCAGAGGATAACAGTAAAAATTAGTGTAATGATCTTAAAATTATCAAAGAACAAACCAACCACATAGATTCTAAATACTGCAGCAGGTTGGCTGCAGCACTGGGTTTGTACCTCCAGCCTGAGCTCCAAGCTGCCAGCCCTTGTGCGGCCATCCCATCAGGCAGGGCAGGGAGGAGATCACAGAATTGTTTGGGTTGGAAGGAACCTTAAAGATCACCTAGTTCCAACCCCCCTGCCATGGGCAGGGACACCTTCCACCAGCCCAGGTTGCTCAAAGCCCCGTCCAACCTGGCCTGGAACACTGCCAGGGAGGGGGCAGCCACAGCTGCTCTGGGAAACCTGTGCCAGTGTCTCACTGCCCTCACAGGAAAGAATTGCTTTCCTTACAGCTAATCTAGATCTACCCTCTTTTAGTTTAAAACTGTTAGTCCTCATCCTATCCCTACACCCCCTGATAAGGAGTCCCTCCCCATCTTCCCTGCAGGCCCCCTTTCAGTACTGGGAGGCCACTATAAGGTCTCCCCAGAGCCTTCTCCTCTCCAGGCTGAACAACCCCAACTCTCAGCCTGTCCTCATAACGGAGGTGCTCCAGGCCCCTGATCATCTTCGTGGCCTTTTCTGGACCTGCTCAATCAGGTCCATGCCTTCCTTCTGTTGGGGGCCCCAGAGCTGGGGGGTCTCATGAGAGTGGAGTAGAGGCGGAGAATCCCCTCCCTCGACCTGCTGGTCACACTTCTCTTGATGCAGCCAAGGACACAGTTGGCTTTCTGGGCTGTGAGCACACATTGCTGACTCACAGTCACTTTTCCATCCACCAATACCTCCAAGTCCTTCTCCACAGGGCTGCTCTCAATGCACTCATGGCCCAGCCTGTATTTGTGCTGGAATTGCCCCGACCCATGTGCAGGACCTTGCACTTAAGCTTGTTAAACTTCATGATGTTTGCACGAGCTCACCTCTCAAGCCTGTCAAGGTCCTTCTGGATGGCATCCCCTCCCTCCAGCGTGCCAACCACACCACACAGCTTGATGCAGCCAGCAAACATGCTGAGGGTACGCTCAATCCCACTGCCCGTGTCACCAACAAAGATGTTAAACAGATCCAGACAAAAGTTATATATAAAATATAAATATTTTAAATAGATTATAAAAAAAAATATGCTGTCAGAAAATTACTAGTGCCAGGGCTGGGGATATGTAGAGAGCAAGACCAATGAGAATCTTCTGGAAAAATCCATGAGTACAGCCTGTGTGTCTACGCTCCTTCCTCACCTTTTAGCCAGTGAGGCTCTTACCCTTCTCCTCTAGCTGATGGCTCTATGCCCTGACAGTGAGGGGAATGGGCAGCATTTCTTCAGCTGGTCTTTTGGAAAGTGCCAGAGTGTCCTCTGTCCTTTCCTGAATTCAACCTTTTTTAAGAGGGATCCTAAGTTCATTTTCTCTGTGAAAGAGCTTAATAGTTACCCAGTAAGAAGATTAACTCTAAAAAGTGTATTAAGAAGGCAAAGAGTATGAGAAAAACAAAGCAGAAGCAAGATCAAAGTAAATCCAAAGTAAGCATAAAACCATCCCTTCTGTAAGAATGGAGGAACCAACCTCACAGCACTTAATACAGGTAAATCCGAGTGTGTCTATGATTTTAATAAAACTGTATTTCTTGTTATTATCACTGGCTGTACTCACAACAGTGTGTCTTGGGATCCCTGCAAATACTGTCCCTTATCCTCAGTGCTGTCAGTCCTTCAAATCAGCTTTGCAATCTGTGAGAAAGCCACCGAGCTGAACGGGACATCTAACCAGGCTCGCAATCTGTGTAGCGAAGCAAAGCCCAGCAGCTCATTATACAGAGGTTTCAGTCAGGGGAAAGTTGAGAGTTCTTGTCTTCTCTCACTCCTCTTGCTCCCTTACTGTTCCTCTGTGCCTGGAGGAGGTCAATCGAACTGTCACCACCTCCATCATGCATTTGCCTTTGAAGTCCAGCATCTTCCCCAATTTCTCTGAAGGGCAGGAGAAAACAGGCCCTTGCAAATCTTGGGCAGGGCATTCTCCAGGAAGATTCTCTGACAGATCTTCAGCAAAACCGTAAGCATGCCCAGTGCTCCCTAGTACACTCCACTGTCGTGTCCTCAGCTAGATCCCAAGCAATATGAATACCTCTCTGCCCTGTTGAACCCCTAATTTTACTTAGGTGTCTTTCTGCTCAATAAGAACCTACTGAAACACAGATTAAAGGAGTATTCTGGCTATAATATTGCTACACTGTTAATTCCAGCATTCCTATTAGCATTAAAGGTTGCAGGGCTGAAAATTAAGGATGGAGGTAGGCAGGAAAGTTACTGAAAGTAAACAGAAGTTTGTTCAAAGCCTTTCTTCCTTTAAAACAGAGGCATGCAATACTCTCCTTTTTCTTTGCAAAAATAGTGATCGATGAAAGAGTTTAGGACCCAGTCCTGCTTCAAGCAACTGTTATAAATTGACTTCAACCTGTCACAGTTCTTGCACACACACAAATAAATAAAAATTGGAATAGCCTGTTCCTCCAGTGGACTCGTACCCCACTATATGGCCTCATTAACTGTCAAGCTTCCAGATGGGATACCAAAATAATGAAAGCCAGTCACTCCGCCATCAAAGCAAGAAAATCTGTTCTCTTTCCAGCTCCTGCTGTCGTAACATGATGGATTATTCCCTGGTCTAAATTCTGCTCCAGAAAGTTGTCGGCCATCACCACAGTTTCACAAACTTTATCAAGACTGGAGTTTCAGTCAATCAGTAACGAAAATTAAGATCTAAGGTGATTTCTCAGGCCAGCTTCGAAAGGCATACAGTACAAGGGTTCCATTGTGCAAAGTTCATCAGCAGGACACAGGCTAATTAACTAAGCCGCTTTTTGGAACTACTTAGTTTTCAAGCAATGGTTTTCACTACAAACAGTCAGGCATTATCTACATTGAAAGCTAAAAACTTCAGAGCGCGCTTCCAAACTGGATTGATTAACAGATTTCACTATTAGCACTACCAAAACATCTATTTTTACACACAATTCTACACAAAAAGTCTATTATCTGTATGTGTCCAGAGACATTTCAGCAGGAGGGGCAACTGAGACTATCTGCACTACTGAGATCTACAAAGACTGCTGCAACATTCAGACCCAGTTTTCTGCTAGTCTATCTAAAAGACCCCAATTATGAGTCACTGAAAACATAAAACATAGCAGTCTTCCCAATGAAAAAAAGCTATTTTACAACCCCACTTTCTCCCCAGGTGTGGCTGCATATATGAAAGGGAACAGTATTTTGCAGAACCAACCAACCAATACAGATCTATGCTACAACTCTGAACGATACTGACGTCAAGGCAAAACACATTGCTCCCCTTCTTTTTCCATGAAAATATATTTATGTTTTTATTATTTAAGTACTCTGAACTCACTTTTCTACATTGGTTCTGTTGCTGTGTCCCTTTAAGGCAGAGCTGCACTTACAGAAGATTGCAATCAGCCACCATTTGAAGGACTAGAGTCATTCTCAGTTGGCCAGCATTACTGCATTACCCAAATAATTTTCCAAAGTAACTCTCATTTGCATTCAGAATAACCATGGGACTAGAGAACGCTGAAAGACATGAAGAAAAATAAAAAAAAAAAAAGATTCTCCGAAAGAAACAGTCTTTGAGAATAACCCACTTTTTCAACCAAGACAAAGGTTTTTTGAAATTTGCACAGAGACCTTATTCAGACAACAGTTTTCTAAGAGTTGAAATAAACTCACTCTTACCCCTCAGACTCTTCAACTCTCAGAAAGGATGAGGACACACACAAAGACAGTCCACATGAGATACCACAAACATTACTCTTATCTAAGAAAACGGTCATATTCGTGGAGATTTGGCAATAAAGGCCAATTTTAACTTTGTTATTCATCTCCATTTTGGAGCTGTTCTTTCACAATTACCTGCTAGTACAGCTGCATTTCTGAAGCGTTGCAGTTGGACAGGGTGAGGTAGCATCTTCTATTCCACCAATTGCCACAACTGGGACATATTCCCCTGAATGCTCCTGATCTACCCCATGGCCCCCGTGAACGCATCCCCTGGAGTGCTGCAGGACCTCATCTCCTGTGCAGACCTTTGCTGTAACCCCTGAAGACCGTATTCTCAGCAGGAAGAGGATCCAAAACACATCAATATCTGGGTATTTTCCCTCCTTTATCATGGGTATCAACAAGATGCTGTATACGTGGTGTCACTTGCTTCAGGCCTTGAAAGAGTTTAACATGGTCTTTTCAAGGGCTGGTGCTTAAAAAGTGGAGGATCCAGTCATAGGACTTGGAAATACTCTACTCACCTCGTTCACCCTCCTCTTCTGCTTCAGTTATACAGTACCAAGTCTCTTTCCCCAACATCCAGCTCCATACACATCACCAAGTGAAGTCTGAACCTGAAGCTTACCTGATCTTTCTCAGGCTTGTCAGAGATGTCATTCAGACTGGTGGAAGTCAGGTTTCTGTGAGTCATGGCTGGGCTGCCTGTAAGAACAATGTCAACACCAATTAAAGCACTGGTTTCGATCCAGTCAGAAGAACACAGAGGCTCAGGCTACAGCAACACCTTTCCTTGCACAATGGAAGTTGACATGGGGAATTTAAGACCCTGACAGGCTGCGTTCTGTGACTATGTGGCACGTGGGATATTAAGATGCTAATGCTTCTTCATCTCTGACCCTCAGCATTCTCATGGCTCTTAGGACAGCAAAAGAGTCTAAGGACTTTCCATAATTCCTGCCTGTGGGAGAAAAAGCAAGCAAAGCAGCAACAAGCTGCTGACGCTGATGCTGCTGGGTCACCCAGGACCCAGTCACAAACCCAGCCCTCAACAAACCTGAGACCCTCATGGTCACTCTGACCTGCAGACCCCTTGTCTTAGCTCTCCTACATAGGTGGCATCTGCCCTAGGCTCCTCAGCATCCCAGGCTTTGGTACACAGCTCATACAGCAAGGGAGGTTGCAGCTCTTAGTCCTTCGAAACGGCCAATAATAAAAATCTACCTTTCTTCAAGTAAGCTCACGAACAACTCATGAACTCAACTAAGCTCATGAACCTTAAGCATTTTACTGATTAAAACAACTTGCGCACCAATTGATAGGCCAAAAGTCACCAACTCCTAACACCAAATACCCAAGAGAGATGAAGTAAAGCCCTGGGAAAATGAGCTGAAGCAGTTCACCTTCATTTATTTTTCAAAGACTGACTGCTTGTCTGTAAACCTGACACGTTGGCATTTGAGCACTGCAAAAGAGCTAGTAAGGGGCTGCTTGTTCCCTTATGGACTACTTATCCTACTTACTCTCATGTTCTCACAGACTAGCAAAACAGATGGAAATAGTTCTCAAGAACTTGGAAAAAAGCCCCATGATTTCAGAATTCAGTTCTACAATCTCACTAAAAGCATTTGTAGTTAAAACTGAAGAAACACAGAAATAATCATAATTGTGAAAGAAGAAAAATAATTTCTTTTTTTTTTTCAAAAAGTCTTATGGGATGGATAGACTTTCATAAATCAGAGGTCTGTATGCATTTTTTTAATTCTGAAATTTTCTCATCCCTTCTCACCCATGCTCACAGGAACCAGCTGCACTGTCACAGGAGCTGCTATCACAGAGTTTCTGACCATGAACATAAGTGGAAAGACAGAAAACACTCAAAAAGAAATGGCACTGAGGCATTTCCCAACTTAGGCTGTGTTTCAAGACAGTATTGATTAAACTTATGCTTCAATATTCATACCAAAATGAAAGTCCAAGTTTTCGGTGTTCATCAGCTTCCAGTGCAAACAAGCTCCATAATAAAACAGCATACCAAGAAAAAAAAAAAAATCAAAAATGGAGTGGGAAGAAAAAGATCTGGACTCCCAGAGCTGGGTTTTCTTTACAACACAGTCAATGTATACAGAGATAGACTTAAAGCTTTCTTTCTTATGAGCCACTTGGAATCACAATATACCTGTGTGTTACTGACACATCTAGGAACGTCAGCAAAAGTTTTTACAAATTTGTTTATTCATAGAGTGAAAAATGCCACTTGGAAGACTGGATTAAACTAATATATTAGTAACCATTCTCCTAAATAATTATTAGCAAGCCAGACTTAGAAATGTCTACAAATTTTGACTGAACTTTTCATATGAATCTGTAGGTAGGAGATAAACGTATAAACAAAACAAGAAAAAAGTGATGAACTCGCTCACATATGCTGTGTCTTGTTACATGGTGTAGACATTACTTCGTTCGTAACACCTTCTGTGATATGAATATTTAATAAATAGTTCGATTTGATAAAAAGCAAAGCTGGACAAAAAAGACCAAAATAAACTCAGGTTATCGTAATCCTGAAGCCCATTATTGAAACCTAAAGCTCCTTTTTCTTGTACGGTGCAATTAATTCTCTTTTAAATGTAGCACAGACCTGCAAATTCTGCAAATTGACAAGTGTATAGTGTACCCATAAACTACAATGATAGCGTCATGTTCGATGCAGAGATATACATGGCTGCTTTGCAAACCTGAGCCAGTAATACCAAATAAAGAATCAGGGAAGCACTTTCTTTAAAATGTGAAGCTTGTTCAACACTGGTAATTGGCGTCATGCAGCTCAGTGAGCCAAAGCAAAGTTTCTATGCGTTTCTATCCCCTGTGTGCTACCAAGTGAGAGAAATTAAACAAGAAAGCCTTTAGCAGAGTTAAACAGATCTGGAGAAATTCGAAGACCTGCAGAGATGGGAATACTGGTGGGCTGCTCTCAGAGTTGGGTATACCACACTGCCTACCACCATTCCATGGGTTTGGAAGACCTGCTGTTCTGCTGTGGAAGGTGAGACCTCTGAGTTCTGGCATGGCTAATGACTCCACTGAGAAGGACCCAAGTAAGGCTTCCAAAAAGCTCTGAGCAAGGGTAGAAAATACTAATGATTTTAATACTGTTTCAGTGCAATTTATTCAGAAGAGTTGCAAGGTAGCTGTAGAGAAAGGCATCTGGCTGAAGGCATCCCTTCATTTTCTGCAGACTGCTTTGGTGGTTTTATAAATTTCTAGGTCCAGTTCTGGAGTAAACAGACTAAAATCAGGGCCCACAGATTTCATAGTTGATATTTTTCCAGATTTTAGGAGTCCAAGGCTGAATTTTTCTTAGGAGATAATTACACTTCTTTCCAGAGGAAGCAGCTAATGACTTTATCACCTCTTGCTAGTAGCCTCTTTCTCCCAAAATAATCAACACAACCACATCAAACTCTCAGCAGCTCTTCTCAAGGTATCTCATATTTATTCCAGACCTGGACAGATCCACGTGCCAAAACATTTGTCTGCCTTTTCCAGTTTTACCCATTTATTTCATGAATACCACACCTCCCATACAAACATGACCTTGACTATACTCTAAAACCGCTACACCAGTGCCACCACTACAAGACTGAATACAGACAAGCACATGAAGCCTAGAAGTAAGTGACATCAGACAAAACCCTGTACAACACAAAGCACAAACTTCCAGGCAGAGGACTCTGAGAAAACTCCTTTTGTCAGAGTTAAGAGTGCTTTGGATGAGGAATGTCCCCTTCCACCCACAAACCCCTTGCTGGCAATTCAGCGCTGCTCTGGTATTTTCTCTAAAGAAGCTGCCTGTGTGATAGCACTACTACTTCAGTCAGTGGCACAGCTCCTACCAGGAAAGAGGAGCTGAGCCCACGAAGAAACTAAGCCTGCACATGCACTTGTTTCTGAGAGTTATACCCACAAAGAGCTGCAAGCACATTAGCTATAGCTCCAACTTTTTGGCACAACACACAGACCTTATTTACTCTCTTTTTCCATCATCAGACTGGCCTTGCATTAAGTGATCTGAGCACCAAAACTTTATAACACACTGTTATTTGGAGGTAAAAAGCATCTCACAACCCCAATTTAAATAGGGCTCTCACAGGCTAAGATAATTCGTATCTCCATCTCCTTGCAAGAAATTTTACCCTTAGTGCTGACAGGCAAAACCTCTTGAGCACGTAATATGACTATTCTCCCTTAAAGTTTGGTGTCTGTGTATATCATCTTTTGAAGATGCCTTACAAAGTCATCAAGTTCAGATTAGTCCCACTCAGTACTGACTTTGACTATCTCTAAAACACAGATTGGAAACCACCAGCTTTGCTGACCTAAGGAACTTGACAGTATCCCAGCCTGCATTTAGAAGTTTTCCCCAAATTTGCCTTGACTGCCAAGTAAAGCCACTAACAGTAAAACGCTGCTAAAAATGCAAGACCCAATACGTGCAGTGTTGACTCAAAAGCCATTTGGCTTTGTGGAAACCGTGATCTAGATCTGTACAGCCTAAATCCCTTCTGACTCAGGTTCCTAATGGTTGTGCACCTCTGAAGACCCAAATCCAGGAAGGACATGTCTAATACTATTTTATTTTTTTTATGTCTGTATAAAAAGCCTGCTCCTAAGAGCAACTATCTGCAACAGACTCACCAGTGACACAAGGTCATCTCTCAGTCTGAACCTAGCAATACTGCTTCTGAGAAAGACATAAGACAGGGGAAAAAAAACACCTCAAAAACTTGGGGGTCCTCATGTGAGCAGCTTCTTTGAATTGAGAAGAAATATGGGAGCAGAAGGAAGCAATAAACTTCTCAGCCCACAGGCTCTCATACTCCTGAACAAACCAGCCAAATAAGAAGTTTCTGCTGCTGAGACCTCAACCAAAGACTTGAGCACACAATGTTCACCCTTAAATGCAGTTTGCTAACTAAAGATAGTTTCCTGATTCAGGCCTAATTTACATTACTGTCTCTTGGCTGCACTCAGTCAAGTACTGGTGCAACAAGTAAGGCAGGCAGTCCAAACCCCTCCATGTTATTACCTCATTCTACTAATAGGCTCAAGTAGCTATCTTTCATGAGGAATATCCTGCAATTCAGATTGCTGTAGATTGCTATGGCCTATAAAGAACGTCTCTGTGCTATCAGTGCAATAAACCGTGCCTTCCAACGGGAACAGCATGCTCCTCTGTGATCAGCAAGGCTCCTGGTCAGTATTGTTTTACAAAGGATAATCAGAGAGAAGCAGGGCCTGAGAGAAGTCCAGCTCATCACTGAGAGAGAAAGTTGGGGGGGCCTGCTAGCTGTGTGACAAAGGGAGCCTATTTTTCTATTTCATTTATATGTAAATTAAAATATTTAAGCTTATTGCATTTATAATACTGCACTGGTGGCAAAATCCATGAAGCCCTTTTAACAGCTAAAGGATACTTCAACAGATGGAAAGAAATGTTACTAGATGGCTTAGGAGGGAGACCACTGCCTGAAGGGGAGTGCAGGCTGACCTACCTGTTTTATCCCAGACGAAGGAAAAAGCAAACCAGAGTGAAATAGAGCAGCGGGAGGGGATAGTGGGGGTAACATGGACAGCCAGAGCAGCAGCCATTCCACAAGGAACACATTTGCAGTCTTCCCACTGTTAAGGCAGCAGAAAGCATTAGGAGACGGGCTGGTGCGAGTTACCCGTTCCTCTTCCTCTAATGTCCCCCAACCCGCCCGCCCCTGCCCAGGACTTACTGAGCCATCCCACGCTGGGGCTGAGCTGCACTCGGATTTCATCATCCAACGTGCGGGTTGCTAGACAGGGCACGGAGCTCTCGAGTGGGCTGCGTGCTTGTACGGTGCAAGCAGGAGACAATAGCAGCAGCAAAGAGGAAGGAGAGAGCAAAGTTGAAAAGTCAAAGAAAAAAAAAGGCAAGAAAGAAATGCTCAAGCAATTGCACAAGCAAGCCAGGTAGGAGATAGAGTGTTTGAACAGTTGCAGTTACACACAAGTGCACCCTTCTGCATAGTCTGGTGACCAAAGTGGTCAGCCCCCTCATTTGGAGCATGATATCTTCCAGTGTTCAGTCAGCAGGTCTGGAGCCAGTTTGCCATCCCTGGTGTCTAAAATTCAAGTATCTTAGAAGTGGGTTTCAAGCAACTGAGTAAGGCAGCCCCAGTGCTGGCAGTGCTGAGCAGCCCCAAGCTGCAGTGTGGTCAGTAAGAACAGCAGACACACAGCGCTTTCAAAAAAAAAAAAAAAAAAAAAAAAAAAAAAAAAAAAAACATGTCCCTGTAGAAGCCAACTTTGAGCATCCTGACCATGTATGCACTCAGGCACACCGATTTGGGCTTGGAAATGCATACCTTAGTCTGCAGTGCTTCAAAGAACGCAAACAGCTGAATACATTGGTGGGGTTTTTCGAAGCATTCCTTGAAAAATATCTTGTTTCTGACAAACTTCTCTCCTCCTGTGCTGGTATTACTCAGCTGACACCATCATTCAACTCTCTAAAAGGACTGAGGATGCAGTTTGTATGAAAAACATTTAATTGAATAAAGTTTAAATCAAACGTAAAAACTTTCAGAGGAGAAAAGTTTCCATCTGTTGCTAGCTAGCCTTCTCTCAATGCATCAGCTGATGTGTTACAGGCAGCCTAACAGTTGTTTTAACTCAACTGTTTCCAAACTACACCATCAGCCCAGCAAAATTAACGTTCATGAGGTGTTTGGGCAGCACAGACACCATCTGCATGGTGACGGTAGCATGCCATTATTTACAGTGGTTAAACACTCATGCTTAAACACATCACAGTTTTTTACAGCCTCTGCCAGATTGGTTTTAGTATGATTGGACCACTTCAACACTTTGCCAAAGGCTCTCACAGGCATTAAATTATATAAATGCTGGCAGGCAGGAAGCTTTTAAACAAAAATGTCAAAAATGCATAGCAAATGTACCACCAAATCACTGCTAAACAGTGATTAGACAGTCCTCAGGGACCTGCATAAGGAACGGTGACCATGGCTCTCATTTTATACAGCCACAAACCCATGGCAGACCTGCATTACAACCCAAAGGCAAGGACTGCTGGAGAGCTGCTAGGGTACATATACGTTATTAATTGCAGGGCTTCATGTCAAGTGCTGTATCCTGTGCCAGGAAAGGACACAAAGAGCTCTTAGAAAGCCAGTCAACAAAACAAGACACACAAAAAAACCTGTCAAAAAAACCCTGCAGGAGTCCAATTGAAATGTAAAATCAAAATGTCCTTGTTGAACACTTCCTAGAGCTCATCCTTCCACCAATAGAAGAAATAAAAAGGGAGGTGTCTTTGTAAGGTAACTTTGAGTAATTACTTGATATATCTTTGTCTGCTCAGCTTTTTGATAATCATCTTTTTCCTGATGAATGGACAGACAGCAAAGGAGTGCTCTGATTTATCCTCCTCCATCCCATGTCACACAAAAAACTACCAACTTTTGCCCAATTTCTTTCCCAAGAGCAAAAGGATTTCTGAGAAAACATCCTCCCACAAGCATGATCCAAATATTAATCATGATGCAGCAATGAATAAAAGGCATGCAGTCCACACCTCTGCCACTCAAAACTTCCATGTTTCAGTCAATCTGATTGCTACTGAGCCTTATCTTCAGAAAGAGCAGTAAAATGAAAGGAGGTGGCAGAGCAAAAATACACTTATTTTCACTGGTGAAGTCTTAGCAACTTCTGCTTATTTACCTTTTTCCTGATTTATGCATAAAGAATATCTTAAGACACATGCAGAAGTATTAACTATGATTAAACATAAAACCAGAACAGGAGTTTATACAAGCTTATCATGAGGTTAAGAAAATTTTAAAGCCCCTACATCTTAGTTATTTAAGCACTCTGAAATCAGTGAGATACAGCACCTCAATATCTTTGAGAACCATGGCCCAGGGGATATTCCCAGATTTCAGATCTAACTCTTGAAGAAATCTGTCATTATTTAATTCGGGTTTTAAGACTAACTGTCCTAAAAAAAAAAAAAAAAAAAAAAAAAAGAATCCATGCTAATGACACTATGCTAAAGTATTTCCTAAATAAGTGTTTCTGAAAGTAATTTAATGTAATCAGGTACCTATCAAAATCAATTCAATCCAAATCGATTGTGACTGTCCAGAAAAAGTTGCATAATATTTTTTACACATAACCTACAGCAGAGTCTGGTTCAGCTTCAGTAACGATTGCTTCATTAACAGCTCTTAATGAACACACAGTAACTGTGACCATTAAACAAGCAGGGTGCTTTGTAATTTACATCAGTGCATTTTAGGGGTAATCTAGAGATGAGGAGTTCCCCCTTCTAACAGCAGCAGTAAATGTCAGTTAAGCAGAAAGCCAAGCTGCTTCTGAAATACACCAGCCTGTAAACCTCTTGTGCAGAGGTGAGAAGCAAGTACTGCACAGAGGGGCTGCTGTTCAGAGGGACCTGGCAGCAGCACGAATATCGGATGAAAGCTGGACTGACACTGTAGACACTGAAAGGAAATACCTACCTGGAAAGAAACTCTAGGGAAATTCATGAATGCTTGGGGCTGATGGCACTTTGCATTATTGCAATTAGCCATGTTGAGAGACAGCTGCACTCCTGTTAGTTTCATTAAAATTTTATCTGTCTAAAGGAAAAAATCTGCCATTAGAAGCAAATGAGAAGCACTCATTGAATTCCAGGGAGTGTGGTATAACTTGATCAAATACATTCTGGAGTTACTTTTTCATTAAAGTGTAAATAATAAATAACGGTAACAACTATTCATGAAGTATTTCCCTTTGTATGTAAGTCTCTCTCTCCTTAAGTCTCAAAGCCCTTCAAGTGTCACAGAAGATAAGGCATTATATATTCTCATAACACATAAACATCCCAGGTGGGAAAACAGAGGCAAAACAACATGAAAGGAGTAGCTGAAGGTCAGCCAGTGGGCTACACAGAGCCAGGAAAGAATTTCTTGAGAATCAGTCCAACTGAGACAGGAGCTGCATAGCCCCTTTGAACAAGAAACAGAAATGAATGAAAAACAAAATCACCTAGGATTCGAGTAAAGGATGCCTTTAGCCATGAAAAATAAGCAGGCCCTGGAGAAATAACTTAGATGACCGCCCTTTGTCAGCATCATCCTTCCCAGGATAAGCAGGCTATTATTTTCTCTTTAACCGGCCCTGAAAGTCAAGCTCCGTACAGCGAAGAGACCAGGCTTACTGTCCAAGGTATAGTTAAATAAACCACAGAGCATGATTTACCTTCAAACCCCTTAAGTAAGTTCTAATTTGTCTTTAACACCCTGAGATTTTGATGGCTCCTCAGGGAATGACTTCAACTGCAGAAAAGAACAATTTGACATTCATCAGCTGCTGAAAAAAAGGAGGTTGTTAACAAGCATGCGGTACAGGAAAAATAGATGCAATACAGAGGCAGAAGGTGGATGTACGCTGTGAACAGAGCCTGTGCTGTGTAAACAGAGCCTGTTTCATCTCCTTCACTTAAGATTCTTGTTGTGTCCAAAGGAGGCACTAATCACAGCAATGCCACACAGTCAGTCCTAAAGGTTTCTTTACATTTCTATGCCTTAGGAACTCACTGAGACAGGTACCTGGAATAAAACACTAAACTTTAAGACTTGTTCAACAATAACAGGGGAAAAAAGCGTATCATTGCCCAAACACAGAGGCACTCCCAATAGTCAGGAGTTTGTCTGCTCATCTCCTATGTGACAGGAGAGTGATTAGGTCTGACAGTGGCATCACAAGTGTACTGTGGGCCAGCCTGGAAACATCTCTCCAAGTCAGCATAACCCTCGGTGTCGCAGTGCCTACCTGCAGGAGAGGGGTTTGGGACTGGAGTCAAGCATTGAGGGCATCCCCTACACCTTGCACAAGGCAACTGAAGGAAGCAAGACACGTGCTAAAGACACATCTGTCATGTTTTGCCTCCCATACAGCATAGCTACAGTCCAGGATTTTTCTCCTCCAAGCAAACCTGTTCATCTTTTTAAAGGTCCAGAAAGAGGAGTAGTCAGGGAGGTCTTAACTGATAGACAATCACCACAAACATTTATGCATTTTACCTGCAACAGCCATTTCCTTCTTTTAACAGAAAGCAGATGCCTGTTATACAAACAGTGGGGAGGACACAATGGAAAGCCCCAGGGCATGTGCTAGAAAGAACATAATTTCTTAATCCCAAGTGAAAACAAACACAAATAACTGGGTGCCCAGTCCTGACATGACTAAGGCATCCTCTGGGGATCTGAAGTGCCTGGCTGATTTAAGGGCAAAACTGAGGCACCTACAGATTTTATGCCCAAGGTTAATGAGAAATGAGCAGGGGGGGCTTGAGGAGCAACAGTTTAGCCAGAGTTCCTGAACAACACCTCTCTTGAGTCTGGCCCTCCACAGGCACTCAAGGATATTTCCCAATTAGCAAGGTGTCTGCTCAAGGCTTGTGGGAATTTGCAGTCCAAGAGCAAAACTTGGTGATGGCCAGAAGAACCTTTCCTCTCACTGCAGTGTGCTCTGGAAGGGGCTCCCCCTCTCTTGGGCATGCATCAATGACCCCATCTGACCAAGCTGAGCTCCTTCCCCAGAACTGCAATTTCTCCATATCACAGTTCCTCTCTCTTCGCTCCACTGGACTTCTACAAGGATAGTCACTGAAAAGCTGCATGCCCAGGATATTCCCTTTATTTTACTCTGTTATTATGCCTTTGTGTTGTTCACTTAATCACTGCCTTAACAATGCACTCCTACACGACAAGATGCACTATCAAGAGCAATAAATATTTTTCACATGCACATACACACCTGTTGCAAAAGCAAACGATGATAAAAAGTAGGAAATATTAACAAAGTGTGATAATAAGTTAGGAAGAAATGTTAGGGTGAGTTTTAGAAGCAGAACACAGAAAGCTAAGAGGCCTTAAATGTAGCAAGAAAAAATAATTTATTCACTTGCTTATTTTCTGGGTATTTTAAAATGGCAATTTTTAGACAAATCTCCAGACTGCGACAAGAGACAGTTGACAGAACTCCAAGAGATGATAATAGGCTTAAAACTCCTCTTTTTTGATTACCACTAGTAAGATGACTGCAAATCTCAATGTATGGCTAAGTACCGAGTTGTTGCCAAGGCCTCTACAGCTGTCTGCATCCACGCACATACACACATTATTTATAGACACCACTATAAACATGGCACTATCTATTACGCTGTTTTTAGAGAGAGAGACATATTCACAACAATACACCACAAAACAAACTTGGAATAATAAAGCAAGATGGAAATCAGCTTTACCCACACTGGACAAGGATTGTATGGCAATAAAATGCAAGCTAGATGCTACTATCACATAATTTTTGATTAAGAGTGCCAACGACACCATCCATTACAGAAATAAAATGCGCATGAAAACTTTGTCTCTGCCCAAACATTTCAGATGATCGGCCTTTGAGGTTCAGGCATGGTTGGAGATTTTTGTAAATCTCTCTTTCCTATCATTGTTCCTACATCACCTCCTATAAGCCAGATGCAAGAGCATCCCCCTGCCCTTCCCTGCTGCCTGCCTGCTGCCTCCCCTCCTCTCCTACTCAGTCCAGTGAAGATGTGGTTAGAGCGATGTGCCACGGCCAAAGCAGCCTTCAGAGCCCACCACTGACATGTTATCAGCACGGGTCTCACTATGCTAATCATGGGTTAGAAAAGCATTGTCAAGGCAACGCAGTTAGTTTTTTGGCGGCCAAGTTTGGTGGGTTGCTTTAAACGGGAAGGCTATAGCCAGTTAGCCTCTGCATTACCATTATCGGGGTTGGTAAACATCCTACTTGCACTGGAGACGGTCTTTCCAATGTCAGCCAGAGAGCGCAGGTTGGATTTCTTGGTCTGGTGTCGGTGCTTCCTGAGCAGCGTGTAGGTGACTTTATCCTTCAGTTCCGATTTCAAAAGCCCCGTCTCGATCTGATTGTCAACGATCATTTCTGTCACATGCAAAGAAAGGGGTGAGAGAGAGAAGAGGACAGTTAATCACAAAGCACGAAACTCAGCTGCATCAATGGAGAGCAGGGGGAAGAGAGATGGATTATTTTCACCCTACTTTTTTGAAGGCTTCCCTTTCCATCTCAAAACCACCACCAGATTTCACCGTTTTTAATGGGACTCTCTTATAGACAATTATTTTGAAACGAAACATAAGCATTTCCATCCAGCAAAACCCATCAGACATGGACAGATATCTACTGCACCAAGACTCCCTTCTGTTATTTTCTTACATGCCACTGGAGCCTATTTTAAATCAACTGTGCCCAGGACAAGATTGGTCCTTTGTTCAGAAAGGGAATCTGCTCTGACCTCGTACATTTGTGAAGAAGCTGCAACTACAATGCAAGTTCCAGTATGCTCTCAAAAGCAACATGGTAGAATGTCTATCAGATTCAATGGGGCCTGAATTCACCTTGCAGGCCCCCAGTAAAACCTAATTTTATGACAGGAAAAAGTCCTGGAGATGAGTAACTAATTAAATCACTCTTGGAACTAAAGTAAAATGACAGCAACTACAAAAGGCAGAACTTGCTCCAATGGTCACAGGATGTACTATGTGGCTTTGCCTTAAACTGAATCACCAGGGAAAAAGTCTCCCAGCCCCCTGAAAAGACTGCCCACTTTCCATCAGTTCTCTCCTTTCTGCTCCCCTATCCCCGAGGAGAAAGAAAAGAAAGGTAGCCAGATTTATTAAGAATCTCTATTGTGCATTAAATCTCACATTAAGTTGTTCCCTTGATTACTTCAGTTAACATACTGTCCCCCAAGGGAAAGTGGCAGCTCTTATTTGTCTACCAGTAACTTTTATTTGTGCTAATAATACAAGTTATGGGAAAGGGGAGGCAGAACATGCATCACATTTGCTAACTCAGTGAGTCAGAAAGTCATCCTCTATACGCTGCCCGAGAATTAATGCCTCTTCAAACCACTAGGGAAAAAAGCCTAGTTCTTCCACCCAAACTCAGAAAAGGATGATTATATGCATGTAAGTACAGTTAGAAAAAACGTTTGGCAAAAGGTTTATTTTTGTAAAGTGCCATTTTTCTGTAAGCTTTTGTGGTTCATATTTTTTGCTAGTGGTTTTTGGAATACTTCCTCCAGAACAACTCATCTTTCCTCATCACATTTATCCTTCTCCATTTGGCAAGTATTTCTTCCCTTCCGTGTTTCTGATATAACACAAATCAACAAAGAGAGCTCTGAGTGTTTCTTTGCTGTGTGCCACTAGACACCAACCAAGTGATCATGATTAAATAGTTCTGAAAACCAAGTCTCCAGGCTTCCTGGACATCCCTACCTATCTGATTAAGGATCTGGACCAGCAAAAATACCCCACTCTGAGTCATGTTACAGCAACAGCAGCTATGGATTTGTAATTTAACCTCCCAGGAATTAGATTTAACTTTGGTGTTGAAGAAGGATATTGAAGGTGATATCTTGATGTGACTTCAAAAAGAAATTTAATGTTTGAGGGTTAAGTTTTGGACCACTGACATCAGCTGCCATCTTCTGAAGCACGTTCAGCTTCAGTATAAAGCTCAGAGGGTTTTGGTGGTTTGTTTTTTTTAAAGTTTGCAAAACTGTGCATTTGGATATACAGACACAAAAATAAAGAAAGAAAAACACCACCATAAGCATCTACAAAACTAAGCTCAAAACTTTGCAGATAACATCAGAGACAGCTTTTGGTATTCCAAGTCTTACGAATTAGTGCAACACTTATATTTGATAATTTAATGCCAGAACAATTTTGAGCCTGCTTCCTGAGATTGTAATTCAAAGCACTGAGTTTAGGGGGGGGGGGGTTATTTTACTTTGCTCTTCCTACACCTCTTCACACAAAGGCTTCGAAACTCAGGGCTTTGGTTAAATGTACCTCCACATGATGGCTTGCTTTTAAAATTTATTTTTGTATGTCTTCTCACACATCAACGGGAACATCGTATAGCTCTCAGCAATGTCACTAAGTGTCATCCCAGGCCACGGCTATTTTGACTGCAAAAAAATTGCCATCCCATTTATCAGAGTGAAGCACCAGATGGTACTGCGGCTGCTCTTCACTTGCCTTTGCTGGAAGGGAGCCCCCCCATCTTAAGCAGAGACCCACTGCTCTTCAGTGGCCCACCCTGCTACCTCATCAGAACGCTGCCTACATTCTGACCACACAGGCTAACATGCTGCACAAAGCGGTGCTTGCCAGGTATCTCTGGCCTGTTACATGTCATGTTTCTGGTAGTGAACAGAAATTGTCAGCATATGCTATTCGTTTCACCCACACGTAGCTATACCTTAGGGTATAACTTAGGGTATGTCATTCAGGATCCAAATGGTTCTAGATAATCACCAAAAAACAGTTTAAGGTAAGCACTAATTATTACTGAAGTAAATTCTTTTACTTTTATTCCTGAACTGAGAAGAACTCTTTTCATTTATCTGCTATCCTTCACCATATACTTTCTAGATTTCCCTGTTATTCATTGGAGGATTATCCCTTTATTTTTCTGGATTTACGGAAAAAGCAGTGCTTTTTCATTAATACCATCAGTGAAACCATCATCACGGTTAATAAAAATTTGGAGGGAAATGTTGAGGGGAAGAGCCAAGGCAGCTTTACTTACCCACCACCTGCGGGAGAGAAGATGCCTCCATATCCAGCATTATTGAGCCTTTCTCTATACACATCCTCAATTCAAACAAGCTGTGCAGGGACAAGGTGGCCACATGAGGTTTGCTCCATCTCTCCCCACCTTGTTCTACCTTCTCCTCGAACTTGATCCACCTACGAGAGGCCAGAGCAATGACAGCATGTTAAAGCTGTTCGCTTCTTGCAGACAAACATCTCTGGAAGAAGTGAGACAGCTGGACCATCACGGCATACCAACAAGTTCAAGCACACGCATTTTCCCACACGCCTCCGAGGGCCACAAATCCATGATCAAGTTGCAAAGGCTTAATGAATTGGTATGTGTCAGCTGAGTGGTGATAATGCTCTGTCGTCTTGTAAACTATTGCAAATGAGAGGTAAAACATGTTAACTTTAATAGCTTTCACCAAGACTTAAACTAACACTGTTTAGCTGATGTTTGCTCCAAGCCAAGAGTTCCACTGGCAGCTTCAGTGACTGAGCTGAGACACGGTCATCATTCCCTCCCCAGTTTGCACACCCAGTCCCTAACCTGACACTGCATCAAATCAACCACAACAACTCGCCCACCACTTCCCCAGAGCCACCAGAAAGTCCGATAACTACATTCACAAATCATCTCAGGTGAGAAGAGCTGAGCACCACAGCTCCACAAAAAGGATTGGGG